TTCTATTCTATTCTATTCTATTCTATTCTATTCTATTCTATTCTATTCTATTCTATTCTAGTCTAGTCTAGTCTAGTCTAGTCTAGTCTAGTCCTAGTCTAGTCCTAGTCTAGTCTAGTCTAGTCTAGTCTAGTCTAGTCTAGTCCAGTCCAGTCCAGTCCAGTCCAGTCCAGTCCAGTCCACTCCCACACCCATTTGCACTATTCAGGTGACCTTGAAGGCACAGATAAACCCCCAAGTGGCCTCAACAACTCTCAGGAAGGGTACTAATCACCAGATGATTGCAAGGACTATAAATCCTTCCATTCTCCACCATTCAATCAGAGCTGAAGAAGCTTCTTGGATAAGAAGTGAAATGTCTTCAGGAGTTTTTAAAAAAAAAAGTCCAGTTGCCTTTTGAAAAAGCATGTTTGGGACGTCCATGACTTGGATGACTGAGAGTCTCCATAGCCATCTCAGACAAATGGATGTCCGATCTTGCTCTGTAATTTTTACTCTGCAACGGGAAAGTACATAATTTTCTATACAGTAACTCTTGTTCTCTTATCACGTTCTGCAACAGGAGCTTAGGAGCTTAGTTCTTGCACAGATGGAGTCCTCGACTTACAACCACAAGATGGAGCAGAAAATTTGTCACTACAAGCTGCATTGTTGTTAAGTGAAACATTGGGTAACCTTCAGTTGTCTTTCTGCTTCTGTTGCACGTAGATGGGTTTAGGAAAGTGGTAAACATCGAACAAGGTGGACTTGTGAAACCCGAACGTGATGATACGGAATTCCAACATCTTTATTTCCTACAAGGCCACGAACATCTTTTGGAGCTGATCAAAAGGAAGGTAGGAGATGCCTTGTTGACCTTCGGCAAAATCCATCCAGGATGTGATGACCCAGGGTGGGGATACAAAATAAACACAGTCACAAAAACCCGGTGGAGCCCCTTTTATTCCTTCACTTTGCTTCCAAGCTCCCAATATCCTTGACGGAAGACAAAAAACTCCCACACAAGCAGCTACAAGAAGGAGGGGAAAAAACAACACAAGCCAGGCAAGATAAGGGCTGCAGGATGTCCCCAGATAACACACACTGGGAAGGACGCCAAACTCAGAGAGGAACCATAAACTAGAGATATTTCCACACTTTGTTTCCAGTGTTTGCCAGTAAGCATGTCCGTCCTCTTATTCAGTTGTCACAGCTGCAGCCCATGAAGGGGATCAGGGCCCTTTCCTTCCCCATAGACCACACCACTCACGTTTCTCCCTTATCCTCTCCTCCCTGCATGCCCTAGGATGGAGAGGGGATGGGCCTGGGTCTTCCTCTGATTGCCCAGCTGGCCTCTGCCCTTCCCCAGCCTCCTCCACAACCTCCGGAGCCACACTTCCACTCCTTGTCGGCTGTTCCTCCTCTCCCTCAGAGTCCGCCTCCACCAGGGGCATGACACGGGAGCTGGGAATCAGTTCCCTTGTTTGGAATTTTGGGGGTATATTGTGTTTGGACAAAGGAGTGGTGGGGTGGCCTAGAGATAGAGTTCTTGCCTCACAATCAGGAGGCTGTGAGTTCGATCCTAGGTGGGGCACAGTGAGAATATATCTGCTGAACAAAACTCTGCATTGGTGACAGGAAGGGCATCCGGCCATTAAAACACTCTGCTAGCTCCATTCAGTTGCCTGGAACTCCACCCCGCAAGGGATTATGGGGTTGTTAAAAGAAGATGATTGTGTTTGGATTGTGTGCGGCTGTGAAAAGCGATTTTCCTTTTCACACACAAAAAAGCTGCTGGTGGCCGGTCCCTGCTTCCATTTATCGCGGGGAAGTCATGTTGCATTGGCAGTACCCCAGCACTTCCCTTTGTATGCCCAGAGTGGGCAGGGCCAAACATTTCAGCTCTATTGTTTGCTTTGTGGGAAGGCTGGAAGGATTTCAAGGTAGTTTCCTTAACACTTTACGCTTACATATTCCACATCCTCCAAAGAGACCAAACCCTTTTTGATCCTTAACTCTTCAGCCGAAGGAACTCTGCTTCTCTCTCTGTGCACTCCAGCAACCATGACCTCTGTTGGACCGGACAGTGGGACATATTCCAGCAGAACAGTGTTGTGGGATTTTGAGCTGGCACCTTTCAGAGGTGTTGAGCATCCATTTTCCTATCATCTAGAGCTGGGTGTCTCCAAACTTGGCGACTTTCAAGACTTGCAGACTTCAACTCCCAGGATTCCCTATGGCTGGCTGAGGAATTCTGAGAGTTGAAGTCCACAAGTCTTAAAGTCGCCAATGGTTGGAGACTCCTGCTCTAAAGTTTGGAGGACACCAAACTTAGCTGTAGCTATGATGACCCATTCCTTTTGGGGGGAGCGGAGGGGAAACTGGGTTTGTTGTTCTTCTCTTCCCCATCTTTTATCCCTTCAGGTCTCTGTAGTGAAAAGTGAAGAGACCAAGATGCGCCAAGAAGACCTCAGCAGGCTCTTGTATGAGATCCAAGTCCTCCGGAACCAGCAGGAGATGATGGAGTGTCAAGTTCAGGATGTGAAACAGTAAGTCCATCTCCTGGCCTTCAAACGTGGCTGGCATCTACCCCAGGACTTCATGGCATGTATCCCTGTTTCCCCCCAAAATAAGACCTACCCCTGAAAGTAAGTCCTAGCTTTATTTTTATTTTGTACATGTGCACCCAATATCTCAGCCAGTCCTTCAGTATTGAAGATTTGTCCTGAAATGAATACAACCTCCAGCTCCTTTGTAGTGCAATGGTGGTTTATTCATTAGCTCATCAAACAACAAATACTCTTTTTTGACAAGAAGGGCTAAAAGCCAGACAAGATTAGCGTTGGGTTTCCCTTCCCTTTTATTACCATTATCATGCGACAAAAAACCACATCCAGGCCAATATGTACTTCTACTTCTGGCCACACCTAACTCATTATCCCTAAATGCTATTAACCCTATAACATGTCTACATCCTTCCCCTATTCCGACCCTCACTAACTGATTCCCCCACCTGGTGCCACCTTCATCATGTTTTCACCAAAGGCTTAATTACCACCTATATGTGCCCCCAACCCCCTTTAACAATATGTACCACATCAATACATGAAAAGAGCCATTTTTAGCAGCCCCGCAGTTGTTGCAGAATCCATCCTCAGCTCTGCTGAGTCATTCCAAAGCCATCAGCCAGCACACAAGCAGAAATACAGATCCGATGGCAGCAGCAGTGGTAAGGTCACATGGCCAGCTGACTTGTGGCGAGGCATATTCGAAGCTAACGGGCTCCAAGTGGACTCGGAGCCTGACATCTTACCCCCCCAAATAAGCCCTAATTAAGATCCCGCCCATCCAGAGTGCACTGGTAAAAATTAAGCTAGGGTGGGTATGGGGGTGGTTGGAGCTGCCCTACTACTTACCTTTGGATAGTTGTAGCCAGTCCTCGCATACCGTGACACCTGCCTTGCTGGCCCATTTCTTCTGCAGCTAGCAAGGCTTCCCTGAAGGCCTCTGTAGGATCGATCCAGATCTCTGTTCTCAGCTGCAGAGGCCTTCAGGAAAGCCTTGACAGCCGCAGAAGTTGGAGGCCTCTGAAGGCCTCTGACAACGAAAAGGAGGCCAAGGGTGATGCACGCAAGTGAGGTTAGTCAGTGGATTGCATCCCCCAATCCCCACTTTGTGCAGGCGTAGAGGCCTTCCAACTCAAGCCTGCACTCTCCCGGTCGCTTCAGCAGCTGCCGCGCAGCACTTTTGTGTGCTGCACTTCAAATTCAGAGGATAAAGGTGAGATGGGAGCCCACGTGGGCAGGTGGGCCCAACAGCAGAGTGTCGGAAGAGAACCGGTTCGGTCTCCGCTGCTCATCGGCGCTACCAGCTCGGCCAAACCGGGCCGAACCTGTGGAATACCACCACTGCATGTATTTCAGCCTATACTACTCAGAGAGTCTGATCCAATCCTTGTTCTGGCAGAGAGGAATGATACCAGCTGAACTGAACTTGTCTAAGCCCCCAGGCTGAGCATGGTTGCATAGAAATATATACAAACCTCTAGATGGTCTTGAGGAGCCCCCAGTCAACTGGGTGTTGGTGCAATAACTCTTCTCTTTTCAGGCAGAATGAGGTTTTGTGGAAGGAAGTTCTGTGTCTCCGGCAAAACCATTTGCAGCATCAGAAAGTGATCAATAAGGTAACGAGGGGATTGAGACTGATGGAGTGCCAGTGAGACATATTCTCGACCTGTAGTGGGCTTACACTTGGGTTTGCTTAAGTGGCTTTCTTTGGAGTAGATGGAGGAGAAGAGCAGGCAGAGCTGGGGGAAGTGGAGTTAAGCATGTCATCAGCTTAGAATCATTACGATCCCACAAATGAATCAATCCAACCCCTCTTGAATTCCATTGGCATTTACTTGATGCCAATTTAGAACTGACGGTTAGTTGGCTAGATTCTTGGGTACAGATAGATTAATCTATATAGATTAATCTAGATTAAGATCAGGCATGAAGGATCAGGACCAGACATTAAGTTGCAGTCCAAAGATTCATTGCTCAAGCCTATATGTGAGAATTTAGTCAATTAAAGTTCAATACTAAATTTTTGCCATATAAGGATCAATGGAATTCAAAAGGGCTTGGACATGGACCATTTGTGGCAACATAATGTTTCTAAACTGATAACATGCTTAATTCCTCCCCCCACAGCTCTGCCTGTTCTTCTTGTACCTCAAGCTACCCTTAATTGGACTTGTGATGACCCAAAGGGGCGTGGCACAAAGGCAACACAGTCAAATAAGCAAGAAGCATCCCTTTAGTACCTCCAACTTTGCCCCCAATGTCCAGGTTACCTTCAGCTGGAGAAAAAGACTCTCCCAGGAACAGTCTTTAAGTGGAGGAAATTCATTCCGAAAACAAAGTACATACAAACTGTAAATAAAAATCCACACAAATCACACTATAGTAATTAACTGGACAGGGCAGGAGAAGGAATTGCAGACTTGAAAGCCCAGCAAAATACACACAGTCGGGAAGACGCCAGGAACCTAGATAAGCCTCAAAGATACCAGATAATTCACGATTTGCTCCCAACAACTTTGCTGTGCGCAACTTCCCTTTTTAAACACTGTATTCCCAGCTGCAGCTTATGAAGGGAATCAGGGCCCTTTCCTACCCCGTAAGGCATGCAACTCACATTGCTCCCTTCTCCATTCCTCCCTGCATGCCCTAAGATGAAGAGGGGGTGGGCCTGGGTCTTCCTCTGAATTCCCTCTCCCTTGTTCTACCTCTCCCCTGCTCTGCCCACCCGAACTTTGCCCTTCCCCAGGTTCCTCCACAGCCAATGGAGCCACACTCCGACTCCCTGTCAGCTGCTTGGCCTCCCACTCAGAATCAGATTCTGACAGGGGCATGACAGGACTTTTCTCTCATGCTAAACTCTGGGTTGGGGTCTGCAAGCCACAATGCTTCCTTTGTGCATTTACTAAGCCTAGGATAAAGACTTCTGCTTTGTAGAACACTCTTCTCGTTGAGAACCAGCAGGCCCCTATCTGTTAATTAGTGTTTCGCAACCTTGGCAACTTGAAGATGTATGCGGACTTCAACTCCCAGAATTCTTAGCTGGCTGGGGAATTCTAGGAATTGAAGTCCATGCATCTTAAAGCTGCCAACGTTGAGAAATCTGATTTTAACCTTCCAGAAGCTATAAAGAGAGAGGTTTCCCCCCAACCCCCAAGCATTGAGACAGGATAAAGATGGAGTTGGTACAGAGTTTTGCGTGTCGCATCAAAAGAGTTTGATGGTGGAGCCAGATTTTCCCCCTTCTGTTTTTGTTTTCTGGTACTTTCTTGCACAATTTTGTTTTTATATTGCGGTTGTGAGCTGCCTGTGGTTCTGATTTCGAAGTGGGCAACTCTCCAAGTATTATAAATAAATGTGTGTTTGCCTTGGTGCAAATGTCAACTCCTTGGAAGACTTAGTGGTCACTTGTAGAATTTAGCTTAAACCAAAATTATCTCAACCATCCACACAAGCCGGCCTATGGGATAAACCAGCTTTTTCTATTCATGCTGGTTGGGATTTCCACGTGTTTGTGATTTTACCAGAGTTGTGGGTTCACCATTGCCGAAGGTGCTTTTTTTTCCCCTCCAAAAGACAACTGGACTTTCTTGTTCTTTTTTCCTTTGAAAACGTTTCCTTCTCATCCAAGAAGCTTCTTCAGTTCTTCCATTTAGAACTGAAGAAGCTTCTTGGGTGTGAAGTGAAATGACTTCAGAGGAAAAAAAACTACGAAAATCCAGTTGCCTTTTCAAAAAAAAAAAGAGAGCACTTTTGGAACAACTATGTCCTTGGAGCAAGGCTCTTCAAACTTGGCATGTTTAAGACTAATGGACTTCAACTCCCAGAATTCCTGAGCTAACATGACTGGAGGAAGAATTCTGGGAATTGAAGTCCACAAGTCTTAAAGCTGTCGAGTTTGAAGACCCCTGGAATAGATAGATAGAGAAAGAGAGGTAGAATAGATAGATAGAAAGAGAGATAGATATATAGATAGAATAGATAGGAGAGAGGGAGAAAGATAAAATAGATAAGATAGAATAAATAGAGAGACAGAGAGAAAGAGAGAAAGAGAGATAGATAGAATAGATAGATGGAGAGAGATAGAGAAATAGAATAGATAGATTAAGAGAGGTAGAATAGATAAATAGAAAGAGAGATAGATAGAATAGATAGAGGGAGAGGGAGAGAAAGATAGAATAGATAGATAGAAAGAGAGATAGATAGAATAGATAGATGGAGAGAGAGAGAGAGAGAGAGATAGAATAGATAGATAAAGAGAGGTAGAATAGATAGAAAGAGAGATAGATAGAATAGAGGGAGAGAGAGAGAAGGAGATAGGATAGATAGAATGGATAGATAGAATAGATCGAAGGTCTTCAAACTTGGCACGTTTAAGACTTCTGGATTTCCAACTCCCAGAATTCCTGAGCTAACATGACTGGAGGAGGAATTCTGGGAATTGAAGTCCACAGGTCTTAAAACTGTCAAGTTTGAAGACCCCTGGCCTAGAGAGATAAGAGGCTACATCTGTGGCCTTGACTATAAGCATAGTCAAGAAATAGAATGGTGAACGTATTACCATGCGTGGTGGTGCTGCAAAAAAATGCAGGAACATTGGCTTAGGACGGGGAAGCGGCTGGAGGAAATGTTGGGTTTTTAAGTAGATCACCTTCCAGAATGTTTTCTATTAGGAATTATGTCAAAAATATATCAGAAAGATGAGCTTTATTTGATTATACACATTATGACTGCAGCAAGGATAGCGTTTGCTCAGAACTGGAAAGAGACAGTTATACCAAGTGAAGAAGAAGTAATAAACAAAATCTTGCTATGCACTGAAATGGACAAGTTAACTCTAGAAATGAAAAACAAAGATGAATCGGCATATTGTGCAATTTGGGATAAATTCTATCATTGGTGGGAGCAGAGAGGAAGGTCTTAAGTTGGGAAATGAGTTGTTGAAAGGATAAATGGTTGGATGAGTTGAAAAGAAGACAAACGATGTTAGAAATGTAATGTATGAATGAACAAATGTATATATGTATATAGTTGAATAATTGTTTATAGGAAAATATATATATGCAATATTGACCCAAAATCACGTCAAACCGACTTCACCATGTTCAATGTTTTTAATTGTTTTGTTTAATAAAAATTAAAAAGAGAAAGAAACCA